TAGAATTTTAAAGTGAAAAATGAATTTAGTCCATTTTGCAATAACATTGCAATATGACAAAATGTGGAACAAGTGAAGTGCAGAGAATACTTTCCAGACACACATGTCCAAGTGCTTTCTGACATTCACACTCCGGTGAACACATGAGGAGGAACTTAGGGTTTTATATCTTGCCCAAGGATACGTTGGCCAACCACCTATCTTCCAATTAGCAGGTGACCTGATCTATGTCCTGAGCCATTGCCATCCCATAAAAAAGGCCTGAGCAAGACTGCAGAGCTTGTAGTCAAGCCTTTAAATATAATGCAAAAACATTTCATATTGGTTTAAATCATGCCTTACACTCAGTATTGACAAATCTACATTTCATTTACAGTTCGCATTTCACTAAGAAGTGTAAATAAACAGCAATATTGTTGATTAAATAAACAGTGTAGAGGAAGCATATATCTAGGTGTCACTTGAGTTCACATCAAGAAGGTGAGTAATACCAAGGCCTATTAAAACTTACTCACTGAAAGCAGGAGGGACCTGAATGCACCCACTCTTCCTGTTATCTATTGGTTTATCTCTTGTTGGATCAGGTGAGACAACCTTGAAACCAATGAGATCATATCCTCAGTAAACACAGCAAATATCCAGTTCTCATGATCAATTAACAACTTTGAACTTTATGGTAGTTTACAAAATTGCACTTTCATGGATAAAAAGATTTGTACAACTTTGCTCAGGACAGAGAAGCGGCGCCTCAAGGTCAACTGTTTAAGTGTTTATAGTTCTTTTTTATAAAAAAAAAAGTTTTTCACTACCACTGTTTTTAAAGTCAACATACATACTCTTAACATCAAACATTGAAGCAACAGTGGACATTTTATCAGTTCAACTAATCACATCGTATATGAAATAAAAACTGTATTTTGGTGTATAGCAGTAAGCATGACCCCCCCAAAAAAGACTGTTTTGTAAAATGGCTGATTAAAAACATGTATATGTCACAGGTCACCTGTCAATCTAGTGGGTCAACATTTAAAAACAAAACAAACAAACAAAAAAAAAAACAACAAACGCACACACAATAACAACACAGACTAAATTCCAATGCTGTTAACCCAAGTTCTCATGGGGTCTGTAGACAAGTAATAGAGGTGGTGTAGCAAAGGTAGCACTATCAGACAGGGCTCGGACTGAAGATAGCTACATCCCTAACATCTCCTGCAGAGGAAAAATGTGCATGATTATTTATTAAAATGAGCCTTCTCCTTAAATACAGATGAAATTATTTACACCACCACATTTATGGGACTGAATCTGAACTATGTGGGCCCCCAGAAGAAATTTGTTAATGTAGACAATAATTTTTCTTTTTTTTACTTCAGTTTCATTTAAAGTTTGTGTTTGACTTCTTTTCATTAATAGTTATCACATCTTGAATTTGATTGACAATGTTTCTTAAAGGAGAATGCAGAGAGCTAGATCTAGGTCTGAGACTGCGGTTTGGGGAAGGCCTCGGTGAGGACTGGTGGCAGCTCCCGAGCCAAGTGTTTCCCAAAGAAGGCATTCCCCAGAAGCAGTGATGACTGACCGTTACAAAGATCTTGATGAATCTGTGATGAAGAGCTGGATTTAATATGGTCAAATATATTGCACTCCTTTCTACTTTCAGCTGCTCCCTTGTCAAAGGGGCTCATCACAGTGAGTATGTCTGCATATGGGGGGATATATAATCCCCCGCTGGGGATTATACAGGACATATATAGAACATAACAACACATCAGTAATTCAACTGTCAAAATAACAAATATAAGTTCATATTAACTCACCGGAGGTGGCTGTAAGCTACTATATGTTACAGTGCAAGCTACCTCTTGTGCTTAGGTAAGAGCAAATACAGAATGGACAGAGTGCAGTTTTTGCACAGTAGGTATTTTTGTGTCCAGGGTCAATGGTCATAATATCCTTACGATAATTCAGCTCCCTCGCAAGTAAATCTTTGAAAATTTTCCTTACAGGACACGCATAATTGTGCCAAGGAAAGCAATCCACACATGGCAAGCAGTGATCAGTAACCCAGCCTCTATTTGGGTTTCTCTAGTAAGGATTCAAAACAGATCACTACCAGGATACTTAGAAACGCAAAAATTCTGTATGGGATCACACAGCACGGTTTTCACTGTAAATTAAATTTAGGAAAGATACAAGGAAACATTACAATAAATTGTTGAAAGTGCTAACCAGACTACAGTGAAGATTTACAAGTTTAAAGGTCAACCTCTTAAGATAAGATGGTGATAACAGCCCACTTCTTTCTAGGTCAAACATTTCCCAGGTAGACTGACTCTTTACATTTGCTGGAAGGCCTCACTAACACAAACACTGTCACAAGATACCCAAGTCATAAGTCAACATTTAGGACTGGACAGTCAGTATTTTGTTTTCATGATCCTAAACTGCTGCTGTAACATCTAAAGTACCACAGCAACTGGAAATAGTAACTGCAGAGTAAAGGTTTATGCTGCTTGTGTCAGGATGTGGATTGAAAAAACGCAACAAATGAAATAAATAAAAGGGAGAGAAAACAATGGTAAGGGATTAAAGGTAATTAACTAAAGGGGCAGGGGACTTCACTTGCTCTTTGTGGGTCAGGCCATTCTAGTTCAAATAAAACAAATAATTTCTCACCAGAAACCTTTAAATAGAGCCCGGTTTCAGCCTTAACAGTTACTTGGTCACCCAGGTTTCTCGCACCACAGCAATGCCTAGTCTAGATTTTTCTATTTCCAAAGTAAGGCAAAACGAAGATGCTCAGTGGGTTTAGTCTACTAGCTGAGTCCTGCGCGTCTAAACCAAAGGATTTAGGAAACAAGAGTCCATAATCCCAGCGTAAATATAACATCACAACCAAAAACTGTTAGCTAACGTTGGGTATTCCAGCTTACCACAACACGCTGAAAACGGCTGTGTTAGCAGCATCAGCAGCTGTGGCTGTGGCTCCCTGGCCTCAACTTAACTGAGAACGATATGGTTCATGTTAGCTTGTACTTAGCGTGCCGCAAACTTGTAAAACGATTCGCAAGACACGGATAATTACAATATATCTCCCCTAATACTGCTTTTTCTTTACTGCTCGACCGTTTATAACTAGCTGGGAGAAAGAAGTTTTGTCACAAACGTTAACCTAACCCCGAGCTAACACTGGCGGCTCCTGCTAGCCCGCTTCGTTAAATATTAAACGGACAACTTCAAGTGTATGAAACAACAAAGTTATTAGCTTAATTCATTTAGTTTAACGACCCATGTCAGCTTACCCAAGTCGTCCCTCCTGTAAGTGGTGCGCTGAACCGCCGTGGATCTCGGTTGCTGTTGGGTCTGTGCTCTATACCTCAGCCCATCTCCTCCGATTCAGGACAGGGATCCAACACTGCTACTGCTGAGCGACGACCGCAGATCGTCTATTATGAAGATGATCACTCTGACGCTTAACAAAAACATCGATAGAGCTATGTCGTTTAGATTTGTATTTGTGTTTTTTTTACTATAATTTTTATATGAATCCATGTGTAATAGGAGTATAATACAGTACAATTCGTCATATATTATTATTTCGATTAAATAATAAATAAAAACTAACACTAAATACTTAGTTTGCATCAGACGTTTGAGCAAGTATTTTTTCAATAACATGTAAATATATGTGTATGTTTATAGGTTTGATTTAATTGCAATCTGCTCAGTATAAATGTCAGGGTGACCAGATGTCCCTCTTTATGTGGGACTGGACAGTATTTTTAAGCCTTGTCCACTCGTCAGAAATCTTGGCACAATGTCCCATATTTTGACCGCTTTGCGGGACTAGCGTTGGCACTTACCCCAGTCAGGGAAGGCTTTTTATTACAGCCTCAGCCTGTCTAATGCTATGCACAACAGGGAAAGTGACAAGGTACCAAAAAAGTCAAGTTTGACAGATTTTAGTAAAAATGATGAAAAATATGATAAATAATATGAAGAGGCAGTACTGAAACCCAGAGACTGTAAGCTGGCAGTACAGCAGCTGAAATAACAGTGTAAATGGGAACATAAAAAGATTATCACATGTAACCACAATAAAAAAAAAACATCTTTCTTTTCAATTATTGTTGGAGGAGCTGGGAGAGTTAGATTCAAATATAATATATCTGACTATAGCATTGTGCTAGCATTGTGTACCACTTTCTGCCACACAAACACTGTCAAACCAGTCATATTTAAAGATCATCAAAATATTTGGTGCTTGAAAAATGAGTGCAGAGTAAGAGATCTTTACATAATAATGTGAAAATGAAGCACTGGGTGTAAACCTGGACGGAAATCAGCAGAGTAGTGACTTAGCGACATCTTACGTTTAAAGCCTGCATCGACCGAGTCCTGCGATTATCCCGTGGTGATAAATAGAAATTTGTTATTGCGTAAGATGTGTAACAAATGTGTAGAGGAAGCATATATACTATGTGTAACAAAGAAACCTTTTTTTTATGCAAAAGCGCCTCATATTTTCTGTTTTTAGTTTATCTTTAATAAATATAACTGTCTGCTGCTATCTGTCCATACGGTTCACTCATGCAGGAGAAAATGCATGCAACTCGCAGGTCCTGCATCCAGATGCAGTTTCGGTAAATGTCTTATGTATGATTGTAATGGAGTTTCTGTGCACTAAAGATATTTATTTTCCATGCATGCCGCCTTAAGTTACAGCTAAGAGCTGTGTGACGCAAATGCATGCAATAATGTGCATTGCTTAAACTCCGTCTTCTTCTTTTAAGTCATGCAAAATGGAAACAGCTTCAGCAGTGAGTGGGATAATGGGTAGGCAGCTGCCACTGCCTTTCACAATTGCTCTTAGTCATAACAGCAAGCCAACCTGTTTGCAGCGACAGATGATGGGCGTGAACAAACACAGGAACACGTACTGTCTGCGGGCTAAGAAAACTTTGAAGAGGAGGAGCAGGCGGTGTGCTGATGTTCAGCAGGTTCCTGTGAGGTTTCTCGCTTTCTCTTCACTGTGAACTTGTTACTCCCCTCGCCTGGCGGGTTGACAGACGAGGCGACAATGGCCGACGAAGAGGAGGGGGATACCTACCGGGAGATGAAGCTTTTTCCACAGCTGTGGCCCCGCCACAGGTGCCGCTCTCAGAGTGATACCTCCGGATTTCGAGCTAGAGTTTTGTTCAAGCTCCGGGGAGCCCGCTCAGGTAGGAGAGACCTCTCACGAGTGGGCCAAGAAAAAAAAAAAGAATAAGGAAGTTTGAGACAAAGGTGCTTAATAAGCACAAAACAGGCTTCAGCTAGCTTTCTTTAATCAACAGTTAAGGTTATGCAAGTTATAGCAGTTACGTCTTGCTAGACAACATCTCCAAATTGCTTCCTCTGATTTCCTGTTCTCCAACCCAAAATAGTCGTCGTATCTCTTCCTCTCACATTTTGGGCTGAATTTAAAAAAAAAAAAGCAAATAAAGAAGCCAGTTTTTGTTTGTTTGTTTTGTTTTATACTTAATTCTGCTTTCTTGTTCATACAATTCATACAGTTCATACATAGAACACAATAATTACCGTAGTAATTCATTGCTTTGTTGTGACACACTTGTAATTCATAACCATATAGTGGATACACCTATTTTTTTTTCTCAAAGTTACACAATAAATTGCATGGAGATCGTCTTTGTCACGTCAGGGTGTGACACATAATTAAATTCACCAGTAACTGAAGTTAGCAAGTGTGCAGTTTCAGTATAATAACAATATCGGTTATTTCTTTGGATATTAGATATCGAAAGGTCTCAGAGGTAAAATGTAAAACCAATACTCGGGGACAGGGTGTTAAAATGATGCAGTGTGAGACCTCTTTCACTGTGTTAACCATGTGTCCGCGGTGACTTTCTTAAATGTCACTGTCAGGGTTTTGCTGCCTGAAGCCCGTGGCTTGCAGGCCTATATACTGCTCTAGTGGTTTGAACCACTTCCTATCAGTCATCTACACTGTTTTAACTCGGGCCGTGCTGTTTGACCAATTCACACGCCTCCCTCTGCTCTGACACAGTTTGCAGACATAACATTTATTAATTCACTGTCTTTTGGTGAGGACTTTTTTTCTTCTTAAATGGGATCAATTCATTATAGCATACAAATAACATTTGCGTTAATAGTTAATAGTTATATTGCTTGTCTACAGTTGCCACAGTAAGTGTCCTGTGTTTACCGTTAGGCTGTAATTACAGGAAATGATTGTGGAGTGGAGCCGTTAGGAAAATAGATGCCCAAAGTTATTTATGTCTCCTGCCAGTTTGCATTTTGAACTTCACCAGTTGCAAGATTATTAAATATTTCTTATAAGTGCCCGTACATATGTAATCTTCACTCAAATCTGTTAAACATATGTAAGGTTCCAAACAACCGGTTTAGACTATACAATGACTGTAATGTGTACAAAACACACTATATTGTAAACTGAACGATTTGTAGCAACAGGGGGCGCTATTTCACCTTTCCTAACAATGATCCTTAAAAACAGCACACATCAACTCAAACGTATTACGTCACCCAGGTGTGGACTGATGGTGGGAGGCTGGGTTTATTTTGACTGAGATGATGTGAGATTAGAAATAGTGTAGTACACATCGCAAATGACACAGACCATATCTGTCATTTTACAGAATCATATTTTTTTCTTTTCTTTTTTTTTGACTAGAAGGGATGAAGTTGATCGAGCTTCTGAGAAATGTCCCTTCCCAATATAAAATTGCTCCGGTGGGGAATATTAGCATGATTAATGGCAGAAGGGAGGGATGTTCTTTTCATGCTAAGTATGGTTTGTTTATAAAATATATGAGAATAAAAAGGAAATGCCGCCCACATACTTGAGAACATGCAAGGCAACAGGAAGCATAATTAAATGATAAAACAAAATAGGCTCTTTTAAGTAAAAGTGAATTATCTAAGCATTCCCTTTAAAAATGAATAAGAAACCACAGTCTTGTGAGATATTATGTGGCTAAATTGTAACCGGAGCAAAATCAAGGCAGAAAGTTTTTGAGTAAAGTGGGTCTGAATAAAGACTGACAAAAGATTCAGTTTAATTTTTGGTGTAATTTTCTATCACTTCCTGAATGTGCATAAGAATAACAAAGCATGTACACCAATGCACTTCACGGCTCTTAGGTTATATGTGGATAATGCGCATGCTAAGATGGCCTTTGATGTACTTTGTAAATAATATGTTGTCCTCCAGATGGGTACTGTTTCGCTGTCCTAATTAGAGAGGGATAAAGTAGAGGAGGAGATAAAATGGTACAAGAGGCCAGAAAATAGAGGAGAAAGATAGAAGGAAAGGCCAAGAACAAAAAGTACGAATTAAGACAAAGAAGAGCAACAGTGAACAAACAGACCAAAGAGTGGAAAGCAAGTGAGGCATTTGAATGCAGACAAGGGAACATTATGAAATCAGCGAAGAGCAGAGAGGAGGCAGAAAGGGATGCGAGGACTGGATGATTAAGGAGGAGGAGAGGACCAAAGCAAAGAAGACAACAGAGGAGTGTCAGCTTTCTGGTAGCTTGGCTTCTTGCGGGTACTTGCCTCGAAATTACATTGATTACAGACCCTTTTAGCCTGCGATAACTGCTTGTTAAAATGTACTGAAATGCAGTGAGCTGCCCTTCCCCCTTCACTGCCCACACATCTTTAGCTACCGATGTGGCTTCTGCAGCAGCCACTGACATACCCCAAAAAAGTTATGGTTTTTGTTTTTGGAGCGAATAAAAACACCATCTATGTTGCAGTGTTCACTTATTATAACCACATTCGACTTTTTCTTTTCAAAAGTCTCATATGGAATTGGAAATCACTAAATCATTAATTTTTAATAGATTTTGTTGAGAGCTCAATTTCTAAATCCTGGAGATAGACGATTCAGAGAAAGGATTTTTGGTTTAATATTTGCTGTGTCAATTGAAAGCTTCTAAAAAGAAAATATTTAATGTGAAATGTATTTTTTTTTTTATTCCAATTACAACGGATAGATGTAGCGATGTCATGAAATGTGTGCCAAGTGATGGGGCAGCAGAGGAATCCGTCTGTAACCAAATGTAGACCACAGTTTAGGATCTATTAACTTATTTGACTATGGCTAGTATGTAGCAAAATACAACCACCTTGTTTCAGCTACATTTATGATGATATATGTTTTTTACATAATACCATCACATTTGAATTTATCAATGACCCTGCTGTGAGGCAGTAATTCCACCCCTAAAAATAACACGTCAGCGAGCTCTCAAAGGGTCATTGTGATTATACCTGTTTTGAGCAAAGCAAGACATTAGGTAATGGTTAACTCTGGTTTCTGGCGTCAAAGTTTAAAAATATTGAAAACCTAGCCTACAGCTCTGGAACCAGGCTTTATTTTAACATATGATATCAGTGGCAGATTTTTAAGAACAAATTTATATCTTTTATAACTTAAGATGCCTTTTGACCCATTTTCAACAAGCCCCCCAAGTGTGACATCCAGTTCAAGCGGTGAAACAGTTTAAATTTGTTCAGAAAAGTCACATAGGCGATACTCCCATACCAAGGATTGCAATGAATGTTAATCTTGGAATATTAAAAATAAAAATAAAAGGTTACATTAGCTAACATGCTAGCAGAAGAGAAGCTAGTTGTAATGCCTATATACAAGCTCTCCATAGAAGCCAATACAGAGAATGGATCTACAGAACATACTATTTTAACTAACAGTCAGTGTTTGCTTTTAACAGTATCAATCACTGACATTTGGCCCACCCTTTTACTAATAATTTATTACCAAATCACCAAGCTTGCCTAATCCCTGATCAACTTGAGTTTGTGTTTAAATCTAACCAAAACTTGACTGCAGCGATGTCAGATGCACAACCTATTTCATTTTCAGTAGTGAAGTGTGAGTAAGCCATACGTTCAGTAAACTCTCCTATGTGTTGCTCTACAGGGACATTCCGAACGCAATTCATCAGAACCTGTCGGCCTGCTGTTGCTGCATTTTAAATGACCTCATGATTATGCCAGCAGACAAACAAAAGGCAACTCCAAATCCAATAATTATTCTGGATCAGCTCTGTTGTCTTGGTTTTTTAATACACTCCCTGAAATCTTCATGAACACTCTTTGAATGCTAATTCTAAGAAACTGATTTTCTTTCCTTTTTAATAATCACACTCAGCCTTGGTAAGGTTTTGGATGGACTTTATGTGTTGCTCTCACATTAAACTGTGAAAAAGAGAATAAGACTGCATCTCTTTTTGATTATCTTGTTAGATACTGGCACTTTAATGCTTTTTTAATCTATTCGCTTCTTTTCCGTGTGATCATGCGTGTGCCTGTGTGGGTGGGTGTTACTGGAGTTGATGAGCCAGTTTCTGTTCTTCTCGCTTATTGGGAGCCCTTTCATTGGACTGAATCAAAAGTCAAAGTCTCACTTTCTCTGTTTCTTACTCCCCCTCCATCTGTCTAACAGTAACTTTGTGCAGTTACTTAATAAGCCTTTAACTTTATTAATATATGTTGAAACGCCTCGGCTGAAAATGAGCAGGATGATTACTCTGCACAGCCTCTAATAATGATGTTTACATACAGCAAGTGTATGTTTAAGCGTGAAGTGGGAATTACATAATCACTCTGTATGTTAATTAAAAAATCCAGCAGAAGAGAGACACTAGTGATTAAAAAATACAGATATAAGATAGATAAATTATATGTATGTATAAAAAAAAATATCATTTGAGAACAGAATTAAATAATAATAAGAGAGTCAAATACAATAATACAGGAAAATACTGACACTTGACACGTAGCACTAATGTTTGTGTGTGGACACCATATTTGTTCTCAGTCCACTTAACTTACATTGTTTACACTGGCTTACACACACACATGCACACACACACACATGCACACACACACACATGCACACATGCACACACGCATATCTGTTTTTCTCAGTCCATCAGCACATTTTATCGTGCTGTGACCCATTTTTTCTTTCCACAGATTGGACTTTAATGTGAAATAGATATGCTTTATAATAAACAGAAAATTAAAAATCACCTGTGCTTAGTAGACGTGCACAGCCAACATAAATATGCAGCAGATATCTAAAGGAGACACGCAATAATCCTAACTTTTGTTGATATAAAACTTGTTTAATTATTTAGTGCGCGCGCCT